GTGGCCGGTGGCCGGCGGGGACGCCGGTGACGCGGGTGACGGCGGTGGACCCCGACGAGGGGGAGGCGGGTCGGCTGCGCTACGCAATGGCCGCCCTCTTCGACAGCCGCTCCGACGCCCTTTTCGCCATGGACCCCGTCACCGGCGCCGTCACCACCGCTGCCCCCCTGGACCGGGAGAGCAAGAGCACCCATGTCTTCCGGGTGACGGCGGTGGACCACGGGACGCCCCGGCGCAGCGCCATGGCCACGCTGACGGTGACGGTGAGCGATGCCAACGACCACGACCCGGCCTTTGAGCAGCCCGAGTACCGGGAGAGCGTCCGGGAGAACCTGGAGGTGGGCTACGAGGTGCTGACGGTACGAGCCACTGACGGCGACGCCGGTCCCAACGCCAACGTCCTCTACCGGCTCCTCAACGCCGGCGGCGCCAATGAGGTCTTCGAGATCGATCCCCGCTCGGGCGTCATCCGCACCCGCGGCCCTGTGGATCGCGAAGCCGTGGAGGCCTTCGAGCTCTTGGTGGAGGCCACGGATCAGGGCCAGGAGCCGGGACCCCGCAGCGCCACGGCCACCGTCCGCATCGCTGTAGAGGACGACAACGACAATGCGCCGCAGTTCAGCGAGAAGCGTTACGTGGCGCAGGTCCCCGAGGACGTGGCGCCCAACTCGGCCGTGCTGCGGGTGACGGCCACTGACCGCGACAAGGGCAGCAACGCCCTGGTGCACTACAGCATCGTCAGCGGTAACACGCGCGGGCACTTCTACATCGATGCACAGACGGGCGCGCTGGACGTCGTCAGCCCCTTGGACTACGAGGTCAGCAAGGAGTTCACCCTCCGGATCCGGGCGCAGGACGGCGGCCGCCCGCCCCTCTCCAACATCAGTGGCTTGGTCACCGTCCAGGTGTTGGACGTCAACGATAACGCCCCCATCTTTGTGAGTACACCCTTCCAGGCCACCGTGCTGGAGAACGTGCCGGTGGGCTACTCCGTCATCCACATTCAAGCCATCGATGCCGATTCGGGTGACAACGGCCGGTTGGTCTACACCCTGTTGGAGACCGGTGCCGGCTTCCCCTTTGCCATCAACAACAGCACCGGGTGGATCGTGGTGGCCTCCGAGCTGGACCGGGAAGTGGTGGACTTCTACAGCTTTGGGGTGGAGGCGCAGGACCAGGGTAACCCCCCCATGGCCTCCTCAGCCAGCGTCAGCGTCACTGTCCTGGATGTCAACGACAACAGCCCCGAGTTCACGCAACGGGAGTACAGCGCCCGCCTGAACGAGGATGCGGCGGTGGGCACCAGCGTCCTCACCGTCTCCGCCATCGATCGCGACGCCAACAGCGTCATCACCTACCAGATCTCCAATGGCAACACCCGCAACCGCTTCTCCATCACCAGCCAGAGCGGCGGTGGGCTCATCTCCCTCGCCCTACCCCTGGACTACAAGCTGGAGCGGCAGTACCTCCTCACCATCGCCGCCTCCGACGGCACCCGCCAGGACACGGCCCAGGTGATCGTCAACGTCACCGATGCCAACACCCACCGACCTGTCTTCCAGAGCTCCCACTACACTGTCAACGTCAACGAGGACCGGCCGGTGGGCACCACGGTGGTGGTCATCAGCGCCACGGATGAGGACACGGGGGAGAATGCCCGCATCACCTACCTGATGGAGGACAGCATCCCCCAGTTCCGCATCGCTGCCGAGACGGGGGCTGTCACCACCCAGATGGAGCTGGACTACGAGGACCAGGTGTCCTACACCCTGGCCATCACGGCGCGTGACAATGGCATCCCGCAGAAGTCTGACACCACCTACCTGGAGATCCTGGTGAGCGACGTCAATGACAACGCGCCCCAGTTCCTCCGCGACTCCTACCAGGGCTCCGTCTACGAGGACGTGCCCGCCTTCACCAGCGTTCTCCAGGTCTCCGCCACCGACCGCGACTCGGGGCTCAACGGCAGGGTCTTCTACACCTTCCAAGGGGGTGATGATGGTGATGGCGACTTCATCATCGAGTCCACCTCGGGCATCGTCCGCACCTTGCGCCGTCTCGACCGGGAGAACGTGCCACTCTACTCTCTAAGAGCGTTCGCTGTCGATAAGGGGGTCCCGGCCAAGCGGACCCCAGTGGAGATCCAAGTGACGGTGTTGGACGTCAACGACAACCCGCCCGTCTTCGAGCGCGATGAGTTCGACATCTTTGTGGAGGAGAACAGCCCCATCGGGCTAGTGGTGGCCCGAATCACGGCCACGGACCCCGATGAGGGCACCAACGCCCAAATTATGTACCAGATCGTGGAGGGCAACATCCCTGAGGTCTTCCAGCTGGATATCTTCTCCGGTGAGCTCACCGCCTTGGCCGACCTGGACTACGAGTCCAAGGCAGAGTACGTCATGGTGGTCCAAGCCACCTCGGCCCCGCTGGTCAGCCGGGCCACCGTCCACGTCCGCCTTCGCGACGCCAACGACAACAGCCCCCAACTCAAGAACTTTGAGATCCTCTTCAACAACTACATCACCAACCGCTCGGGCAGTTTCCCCGGAGGGGTCATCGGCCGCATCCCGGCCCACGACCCCGATGTCTCCGACAGTCTCACCTATGCCTTCGAGCAGGGGAACGAGCTCAACCTGGTGCTGCTGGACCCCCGGAGCG